ACCCTCCTGGATCTCTGTGCACACTCACACACTCCTGGATCTCTGTGCACACTCACAGCACTCCAGGATGTGGCTGTGCTCCCTCACACACTCCTGATCTGCAGGAGCAGCTGGCTGGAGCTGCCTGAGGGAAGGGGCTGAGGGTGTCCCCCGTGCCCAGCCTTCCCCGCTCAGTGACACGGAACAGGAACACGAGCCAGCCCTGCCAAGATGCTCCCAAAGCCAGGGTTTCACCCCCCAAAAAAGTGTATATTTATAAATGAAAAGCACAACCGAGCTCCAAGCTCTGGGCTCCCGTCCTGCCCTCCCTCACCAGCACATTCATGTTTTCCTGAGGCTGTCACAGGCATTTCAGCTGTAACCCTTTCCCAGTTGGAAGGAGGAAAAGGCAGTTCTTTGTCCTGAGCAACTCCTTCCCTGTCCCTCAGATCCCACCTGCTCTGGATGGTTTCACCCCTAAATAAAACTTAAACAACCCTGATGCAAGTGACCAGTAAGAACCACACAAACAGGGGTCTATTCCCAGTTCTGAGAGCTGGATAACCTTGGATATATATATCACATTAATGTGTTTGCTGTTCTGCTTCCTCCTTTTGGAAAACAGGGCAATATTTACTGCGTTCCCAGAGGAGACTTGTGAGGCTTAATTTACTTCTGTGTTTATGCAAAGGAGCTGTGTAAAAACTGCTATCACAATTTCTAGTTCATACACTAAAGCAGAAATAAGTATTACAACCCAACTTTCAGGTTCCATTAAAAATCCTTCCTCAGACCACCAGGGCAGCAGTGGAGATGACGGGACCAGGCAGTGAGGAGGAGCAAATAAAGAGGAAAGGCTGGATGATGGATGGCTGGCTCTCAGTGCTTGGCCATCAGCTTGTTGTGTGACCTTCACAAGTGTTTCAGTCTTTCTGCATGGGTACAGAATGCTGAGCTGTTCTCACTCCTGTGAAACTGCCCAAGATTGTTTGCATTGTTATCACTGCTGCTCTTGGCTGAGGCTGGAATTTGTAACAATTCTGGATTCTGTTCATCCTCAGCCTCTGGAAACTCCACAGGGAATCCAAAGGTTTTGCACAGTTCCTTTCAGCTCAGCAGGATGCTGAGTATGTTCTGGGTTATCAGGGTAAGTGAAGATTTTGGAGGGGTGAAATTCTCTATGCTCAAGTTTAGAAAGACAAAAGACTTCCAAAACAACACCTTTTTGTTTAAAATTCAACAGAAGAGGCTGCATAACCCTAAGTTAAACAAAACAGTCAGCATAACTGTTCTTTTGTAGTTTTTAATGGCTGGATGGGTGCTGTTTGCTAACTGCTGTAGAACCAAGTGGCAATAACCTCGTTTATCAGCCCTAAGGACACACAGCCAGGCCAACCATGAGTTAGCACTTCCAGCAGACAGGGAAGATTCAGGCTTGGCAAAGCTGAACAAAGTCAAACAGGTTATACCTGTTCTGTGCCTAGAAAGCCTAATGATTGTTTCCAAATCCCTTTCTCCCAGTGCTAATTTTTCTTTGTTTCACCAAAACAGACATGCAGGAATGGGACAAGCTAAAGATAGAACTTAATAGGAAACAATGTGCCCATTTAGGGAAAAAACCTATTCTGAGGTTGCATCGTTGGGTGCTGGGCTTCAGGAGGTGTTTAAAGACCCTCCCTGCCCCTGGAAGCTCCCCACAGGCAGCTCCCTGGGACACAGACCAAAGATGCTGCTTGGATTGGGCTCAGGGATGATAAACTTCAGCTTGTGGGTTTGATCTGTCTGACTTGAGTTCAAGTTAATTCAAAGTTCGTGACAGGAGAAAACAAACACACCAAGAAGCGAAGGGTTTGCATTAGGTGATGGGGACAGAGCCAGGAGAGAACTCCATGGTGGTCCAGGACCCCAAAGCACTGACAATGAGAACACAAGGGGAGGAAACCCTGTAGAAATTCCCCCCAAGGGCTACTACAATCAAATATTCTGCTGCACTCAAAGGTAACCACAGACAGGAGACAAACCTCTGCTTAGAGGAGTGAAGCCAATCCCGATTCCATAGTTCCTAGTGTTCAATTCAAGATGAACAAACCAAACAAAGCAAACCCAAAGCTGTCATTTCATAGAGTGATAAAGCATAAAAACTCCACAGACACTGTCCACACAGCACCTCTTACAGCTTAAGGTCTTAACAGCAGAGGAGAAGTAGCTGTGGGGAAAAATTTAAGCACTGCAGCTCCAAAAGAAACTCTTCCAACTAACTGGAACCAATTCCCAGTGCAGAGAGGATGCACTGAAGTGCACAGAAGTTGAGCACATCTCCTCCTAACACAGCCTGGTTGGGATTATAACCCTGCTGCTGCTTCCCATGTTTCCATACTGCTGAAATCCCATCTCCAGCTCATCCTTCCAGCTCCTTTCTCCTCATCCAGGGCTACCTGCTCTCCTGCACTTGGATGCAAATTCACCAAGGCCAGAGACTCTCTTTGCTCTTTATCTGTACATTTTTCAGAGTAGTACAGCCTTTTTCCAGGGCCAGGGCTCTGGATTTTATAGCAGGTCTCTGGATTCTATATTAAACAATAACCAGTATTTTGTTTCTCAGCCAACAAGAATTCACTAGTTTTTAAGAAACACCACTATGCACAGCTAAGTGTCACAATTAAAAAGTCTTTAAGATGTCCCTTAGAAGACCAGGCTCAAAATTGCTACAGTTTGATGTAACCCAACACAGCTTTACTGCACATGAGCTTGAGGATTTCTGCTGGAGAGAAGTTTTGATCAGCTACACTTTATCCCTATTTAGGGCTTCAATTATGACACTAACAAAACAAAATTAAAATTTGACCCAAATTAGGGAGTTTGTTGTTGGATTTTTTTTAATGGTATCACTAACTGCAAGCTTTACTTTGCTGTTAAATTAGCAATGGGCTTGGAAACGTTCTCTCTTAATCCTTGGGATAACATAGGGTGGCTCAGACTCAAATTTAAGAACAGATCTCCAGCCTGGAAAGCTGCTTTATGACACAGTTGCACCCATGACCAAGTGACTAAACTTCCAGACTGACAGAGCTCCCAATGCTAATTAGATTTACACAATGATTCAGCTTTTTACTACCTAAATGAACTTTGGGAAGCTGCAACAACAGCTCCTGTTTCAGACAATTCTCTCCTCACAGAAACTTCTGCCAACCACTTAAAGAACAGGATAATCCAATCCTTTACCACTTCTCACCTCTGCCAATACATTCCTTCCTCCTTTGATAGTTTCTCTGAGTTTAAGCACCATTCCATTTAAGAACATGAAAGTGCCAAGCAAGAGAGGTTTTTAAATATAACCTCTTTGATTGCTTGAGGTTATCGAGGCAGAGACCAAGGATACTGCAAGACACTCTTCCTCCCTTGCTCTTTGCATAATTCTTCATTAAATTAAAAATAGATTGTCATTAATAATGTATGGATGACAAGACAATGTAGGACTGCTTTTGTTTCCAAAAGAAAATTAATTTACTGGGAAAATAGTTCAGTGTTAGGATATATAAAATTCTGAATAAATTATTCGAAGCAACACCATTCTTGTAGGGTATTTTACAACCACAATTTTAGCTGAGGTGCTGCTCACAGGAAGTTCAGGAAACAAAGACCAACTGGACAGCTGGAAGCAAGAAACTAAAATATTTAACAGCAAATCTTGCTGCTAGCCCAAGATGAGAACTATTTCATTGCTAATTAATGATACAGGTCACAAACTGCTCTCTCCTGAGGCACATGACAGGACATTTGCCTTCCCCAGCCCCAGAGCACAGTTCACTTGTTCAATCCCATTTTATATGAAAAACAGGGGGGGTTACACCAGAAGGACTTGGTGAATCACAGCACAAGAAAAGCAGACTGCACTTTCTGACTGACAGAACACATGGAAGAGGCTCCCAGCCCCTCCCCACAGCGGAGCTCCCCCGGGGTTACAGCTGGCTGGGGCTGGCAGGGCTGGCTGAGCCCTGCTCACATGAAGGCAGGAGAAGTGCTGAGCAGGCTGGAGCACACACTGCCCAACCCCTGTCCACAGGAGTTTGCAGTCCTGCACAGTCTCCCATGCGACAGCTCGCCCAAGGCTCCACCTGAAATCCAAATCTCTTGCCACTGCTGAACAGCTCCCAGTTAATCATCTCCAAAGCCATCACCCAGCTGTGCTCCTGCATCCCCAGGACAGGGAGTGAACCCCCTGCTCAGCTCCTTGGCTCTGTGATCCCATGCAGGCAGAGTACTGACCTCTTAAAGAGCAGGGTATGTGTGTATATCTGGGGAAGGAAAGGAGAAAATTTAGGATCTCAATGAAAACCCAGCCCTGCAAACACCTCACCTCAGGGGGTGACAGATGTGGATACCAACCTCCTCTCACACCGGGTACCTTACATGGGACACCTCTCATCAAAAAGGTGTTTAAAGGTGTCAAATACAATTTTTGCTACACCACAGGCTATCAAAGGGACACTCAGCAGCACAGCTATTGCTGGAGATGCCAAGCAAGCACAGAATGGAGTGTCCTGCTGCCACCCTACC